TTGACTTAGAAGATCATCACAAACACCCTAATAGCACACACTAGGATACGCATACATCCTATTCTCACTCCCTAGAGGATGGCTAAAAATTCCTCAACCGAATGACTGCTCATACATAAACCCATCCATGAAACTTCCACCAACCCTGCAGCACTCGTGTATGCTAATCATACATAACATTGGATCCTATAGACAGTCGAATACATGATTCTATCAAGCCCTTAATCAAACAAAAACAAGAAATTAGCAAACCAAACATTCTCAGGCTATAGAATCTTAGATATGTACAACTATGATGCATAAACTAAGCAACTACAGTAATGATTTCAATTCCATACAATAAATAATCCTAGGCTATCAGGCATCACATATCAGGCAATTCTATCATGCAATTCCTGAAGATCCCGAGCCTACCACTAGCATGTTGTTCTAACATAAACATAATATCAATAACAGTGTAGGTAACTTGGGGTATACTTTCTTGCTCCGACTGATCATACACATCGCATCCTTCCTTGGTTACTTCTGAAAACCAGTTTAAAAACTTTTGTAGTTCCCTAATTAAGTCTGGATTCACACGAATGTTCATCAAATTCTCTCAAACCAAGGCTGTGATACCAACTTGTAACACTCCAAAAATCATAGAAATTTTAAAAAAAAATTAATCAAACATTTACCAATCATTGTTTACAAAAGAGACATTGCTTCAAACATATTATTCAAAATCAGAGTTTTCCCAAGACCCATAACACAAAAGAGGAAGATGTATACGATCACACCTTCGTTTTCCCGCTATCGTCCGAAGTACCTGAAACAATAAACTAAAACTGTGAGCCAAAGCTTAGTGAGTTCCCCTAAAGTACCAACACACAACATATAACAACATATATTGGGTCAACAGCTCACAGACTGTATTACCCCCAAGCCTATAGTATGAGTTTGGCTTGCCCTTCAGACCCACAACATAAGTCTGGTTTACCCTTCAGGCCTATAGCTTATGTCTGGCTTGATCCCGGGTTTATTGGCTACCGCACAAAGCAGTACTACCTCAACCCAACCATATTATATCCACATATAACATATATCCAACAAACAGATAAACACATAACTAGTCAACAGAAAATCAGGCAGATCTACAGATCACTACCACATACTACATCATATATACCAGAATACATAACTAATGGGTCGACATTGGTGCCTTCAAACCACATGAACAGTGAGGAAAACTCATCTCTTAGTCTACGAAGATATCCAACAAAACACAACTCCAAGTGACAACTCATCTGGTCACCTAAACACCAATAATGACAGATCTCAAGTACCACTCAATTTACCTAAAATACCCTTAGGTCAAACTTGGTCAAAGGTCAAAGTCAACAAACCAGCCGAGTCAACCCAACTGAGAACGTTGAGCGTACTCCTCTATACGAGGGGCGTACTCTCCAGTTGACCAGGAAGCGAGTTTTGACCGTGTATGTGCAACGTACCAATTGGTATGCCTAGCGTACGCGGCAGGACTCCTTCTTAATGCAATAAGTGCTTAATACTTCATCTTATATGTCTAAATTGCAGATCCAAGTACCAAATATCGTTCTTGACCATAAAGTTTCCAACTTTATGGTCTTGCATGCCCAAAAGTGCTAAATGCTAGAAACCCCAACCTCTTAACCCATTAACACCATCAAGCACATGCATGGGGAAGAGTTAAGAGCCAACACCCTATTTTTATGCATCTAAACTACTTCAAATAACTGAAAGGACAATTTAAATGGGCTGCACCATGCCATACACAAAAAGGTTAAGGCTTAGGACCAAAACGCTCATGAATCAAGAACTTAACAAGATCTGAAAAATTACAATCCAAGTTGAAAGCTTTATACCTCTTGGAGGTTGCTAGATAGGTGAAGATCCTAGATCCAAAGCTCATTCAAGTTTCCAAGCTGGTTCTACTTCCTTCATTCTCCATCAAGACCACCAAAAACACACACAAGGGTCAAGAATGCTCAACAAGTGGCTAGGGTTTGCTAAAATCGTTTGGAGATTTTGGAGGCTGGTGAGAGAGGAGGTTTGGAGGCCATAAAGTTGATTAAATAGGGTCCAAACCCTAAAAATTAGGGTTTGTGGCTCACACACGTACGCCCCACGTACACTAGGAGTATGCCCTGTGTACGTGAGCCCGCCATTAATATTACAAAAATGTCACAATTGGCCATTTTGCAAGCTTTCTCATGCATAAGGGCTAAAATGTAATATTTCTACATACTTAGGGTTAAAATTGAAAATACCTCATCATCAGAATGTTACAGTTGGGTTTAGTGTTTGTGGGCGGGGGAGAAGACGTAATTAGAGAATAGAGGAGAAATAATTGTTTAATTTAAAGTTAGAAAATCATATTTGTATAATTACCTACCAAAAACACAATCTTAGACATTTGATTCAATAGATAAGGGTGCATATTTATTATAGTACACCCTTTTCATCTAAGCCATTAATTGTTAAATCTAAAGGCTAAAAGGTTAGTTATATGGTTCTATGGATTTGTATTGGTTCTATAATGATCATTCTTATATATATATATATATATATATATATATATATATATATATATATATATATATATATATATATATATATATATATATATATAGACTTAGGTTACTGTATTCTACCTATTTATTGTGTGGATGTATGGTTGATTGTGAACCAATCATTTTTGTTTAGAAAGTGATTAATAAATATTATTAAATTAAAAACAATAGAAAAACACCATTTAATTTCATTTTAAGGGTATTTTAGTCAATTAAGATACATTTAAAAAAGAAAATTTCCAGATTTTAGGGGATGATAAATTCTTTTGATTTAATTTAAAATTAATTTAATTTCAAACGTAATTTGTTAGAATAACGGATTTTATTCTGTCAGAATGTTTTTTTACTAGGATGATGTTTTGTGATTTTGTGAGAATTTTTATTCTATTCGAATATTATTAAATAATAAGAACATTATCGAATCCCTAATTGAGTTATAACAATATTCTTATATATATTCATAGACATCCTAACTTAAATACAAATTCATACATACTCTTACAAAATAATAGCCTTAAACATTTTAATATAATTATACATATTCTAAAAGGATGTCATAAAAATGAATAAAATTCTTAAAAAATAGCATTCTTAAATATACAATTATTGAACAAATACATTGGATCTACTTTAATGGTCCAAATAACCGACTTGATTTCAATCTTTGATTCATTCTTCTAGCTATTCTGAAAGAATAACAAACGCATTACTCGCTAGAATGACTTTATGTCTAGAAAATGCACATAGAGAATACATAAATTTACATTCGGTAAAAATTAACAACTCCAAAATTTGCAGTGAAAAAAAAACTAATCTTTTTGGTCAATTCAAACCAAAATCTCCAAAATTAGTAACAATTAATTATATTATTGCTAAAAATCGTTTTATACATTCTGATAGAATATATTATGTTAGCATACACTCTCATTTTCTATATTCCATGCAACTTTGTTGTATTTTGAGTGAATGGGTCCCGAAACAAAACACAAACCAAATAAAAACCCAAAACGATAAGGTAACAAAAAATTGAAACCCAAATTGAAGACCGTAAACATAAATAAAACTAATTGATAAAAAAATTCTAATAGAATGATTTTATGTCTATTTTAATAGAATGATCAAGTAACTCATTTGTTGAAAACATAAAAATAACACATTTGTTAGCTTTCAAAATTCATAAACGTTATATGCTTTCGAAAAAACTCGTAAGTTATTAGATTATATGTAAACTTTATTCATGAAAAAAATATCTAATTACATGGGTTAATTTTTAATGTCATCGTAGTGAAAGTAAACAAAAAGATTTGAGTAGAAATTACTAACGTAGCGTCTAAATGCAACTTATTCGGGTCTCATAGAATTAAATAACACTTTTAAAAAACCCACCATCTTATAATTTTAGATTACAAAGTAGAAAGGTAGGAAAGAACCCGAAATTTGATGTTTTGAGATATTAGGTTTCTGTAATACATCAATAAAATATTTGAATCTAATAAAGCTTTTAATAGTTATAAAGTATGATTTAAGGTAACGTGTAAAGTTTAATAAAGCATTTAACAATTAATGGTCAAATATTCAACTTTGAAAAATTATTTTGATGCTCCCTGCGATAAAACTAATCTTCAAAGTGTCTAATATTTAGTTCTCAATTATCAGTTTGATAGTATGCAAAAATAAAACACCGACTTACAAAAAAGAAACCTAATTAATACAAATTAGGTACCATACACTACTAGAAAAAACGAAAATACCTACAGCAAGATCCGTAGGTATTCCGTAGGTATACCGGTTTACCTACGGAATTGTGACGAAATGGGTGCCGTAGCATAATTGCTCGTGGGTAATTCTTAGCGACGGAATTGCGACGGATTTCCGACGGAATTCCGACCGCCATATTCCGTAGGTAAATTACCGACGGAATACCTACGGCGAGAAATTGCGACGGAATATCGACGACGGACACTTACCTACAGATTACCGACGGAAGTCATTTGCGACGACATTGCGACGGAATACCTACGGAATATAGTACCGACGGAATACCTACGGAAAAAAATACCGACAGAATTGTGACGGATTACCTACGGAATTCCCTTTTGACTGGTATGTACTTATTTACTGACGGGCGTGCTTACCGACGACATTTCCGTCGGTATTCCGTCGGTAATAGTCATTTTATTTAATTATTAAATTTAAATATAAAATATTTCCAGTTTTTTGTTGTCAGATATGCAAGATAAGTAAACACGAACATAATAACACTACAATTAAGGTTTCAAAATACACAAAAAGTGTTCCAAATACACCAAGTTTGCAAAATAAGTGGACACATTCATTTGTTCCATTGTCACAACATTCATACCAACTAAAAATTAACAAACATTCATTCCAAATACCAACATGCATAACTTATACACCATCCTCGGGTGGAGTATGAGGTGGAGTATGAGGGGGGTCATTGGCTTGATTTGTTGTACCATTCATCATCCTCGTCATCCTTTCCATTTGTTGTACCATTTGTTCTTGCAATTGTCGCATGTTAGAAACTTCTTCACGTAACCTATCAACCTAAAAAATGATAATAACAATGTACTTGAATTTATTATAACAAAATAGCAATGTACTTTTGTTTTTAATCAATTGTATCCATAATAACAAAATACTACTTAACTTGTAAACCATAATAACAATGTACTTTTGTTTATTATCAATGTAATCCATAAGCACAACAAACCACCTAACTTTTAAACCATAATAACAATGTACTTTTGTTTTTAATCAATTTTATCTATAATAACAACATACCTCTTCTTGTGTGTTGTTGTTGGATTGGGTGGACCGAGTAGATTCGGAAGATGTTATCCCAGAAACCACAAAATTGGCATCCGATGCTCCTATACCATAGATATGACCCTTCTTTTTTCCTCCTGTTCTCCGAATTTGGCTTTCAACCCATACCTCCGCATCATGCCTATGGTTTGCATAATCTTCTTTTTTCCTCCTGATCTGAATAAAACAACTCGTTTCCATAATCTTCGTCTTCAGAACCTTCCTCTTCTTCGTCTTCCTCCCTAGATCCCTCATTCTCGTCATCAGATATTTGCTCATATGTATTTATAGTTGAGGCTAGGCACAATCGTTCTGCACGAGTTACAGTACCAGGTGACTCAAACCGTTCTTCACCCTGAAAGATTTCTTCTGCGTCCATTTCAGCTTCGTTGACTTCAAATACCCCTCTTGGTTTTGTTTTGATAACCGCCCACTTATCTTTCGTCTCATTTGCCATTGAAGGGTATGGTGTATAAAACACTTGTTCTGCTTGTGATGCCAAACAAAATGGGTCATCAGTTTGAAGTCGAGAGTTGGTTTTGACATCAATCAACTTGTTTTGTTGACTATTACACCATCTTTATTATCAAACCAAATACAATTAAACAGAACAACAGTCGAGGGCCCGCTACTATAATACTCAACCTCTAAGATCTCTTGCAATATGTCGTAGTAGGCTGACTCTTGTTCATCATTATACGTCTCCCCTCTCACACATACTCCAAAGTTATTCGTCACACGACCCTCACCGTATTGTTGAGTGTGGAACTTATAACCATTTACAAAATACCCATTATGAAAATGAGCATGTCTCGATGGTTTCTCAGCTATAACTTCTAAGTGTTTAGCACTTCCATCGGGTGTCTTATCCATTACCTAAAATGAAAACATACACACATTGTGTTGGTTAATGATGCGTAAATAATAATCAGTACTAATGAACTGGTTCTACTTACTCTGTCTTCAAACCATTCAGCAAAGAATTTATCTCTTAAATCTGAAACCGATTCATTTGGATTCGTTGTCATGACCAGCTCATCAAACTCGAGGATGTAAGGGTTAACTTCTTTACAATTAAGTAATATGTAGGTGTGCGCCTTGTGAAGGTCTTTATCACTCAAGGGTTTTCGTTTTCCACTTTTTTCATATAATCTTCTTGATGGGACAACAAAGATGCTAAGTGGAGCTTCTCCACTCGAAAACCTATGACTTTGCGGTGCGAAATTTCGTGCCTCTCGATTATGGCATGTCTCAATCGTCGGGTCAAAATATAAAGAACAATAGGTAGCAAGTTCATTCACTAGATGTTCATTGACGATTGAACCCTCAACCCTTGCTTTGTTCCTGATTCTTCTTTCAATTATGCCCAGTTTCCTATATTTAAAAAGTATGAATGATATCTTAGGAATACCACAAATAACTTTAAAAATGTTGGATATATAATATTAAAATAGGGTGATTACCTCTCGTATTGATACATCCATCTGTATTGTACCGGACCACCAACAATAGCTTCATCTGCTAAATGTATGACCAAGTGTTCCATGGAATCAAAGAAGCCAGGAGGGAATATTTGCTCCAACTTGCACATGGTTTGAATAATACTACGTTTCATATCGAACAAGTCGCAAACATGCAACGTTTTCGAGCATAATACTGGAAAGTACATAGATATCTCCGATATGACCTCGTATATTTTTGTTGAAACAAACCCTCTTACGGCTAGGGGAAGCAACCGTTGCATACACACGTGACAGTCGTGGCTTTTGAAACCATAAAAACTATAATCTTTGATGTTTACGCAGTTCCCGATATTAGATGCATACCCGTCAGGAAATTTGAGATTTTTCAACCAAATACATACTTTTTTAACATCTTCCTTTTCCAATGTGTAATCTCCAGGCTTCTTCCGAGTCTTCCTATTGTTTTCCCTGATGGGGTTTAGTATAGGTCGGTCACAAAGCATCTCAATATCCTCTCTTGCCTTTATATTGTCTTTGGACTTTGGGGTGCCCATTGAAGTCTGAAACATATTTTCAAAAAAATTCTTCTCGATATGCATCAAATCGAGGTTGTGTCGGATCAACAGGTGACGCCAATATGGAAGCTCCCAAAAGATGCTCTTCTTTACCCAGTTGTGTGTAATACCAAAACCATGAGGTTTTATATACTTTTGACCATAAGGAGTACCGTTATATACAGTGGGGAAATGTTGGATTTTCTCCCAAATATATTCTCCGGTTAGGTACGGAACAGGCACTTCATGACCCTTCACTTTCTTGCCTTTTAAAAAATTAACTGTATCATTTCGGAATATGTGTCTTTCGGGTAGATGTTTTCTATAACAGTCAAACCAACACGGTTTTTGTCCATTGGAAAGTCGAAATGATTATGTTTGGTGCATGCAATAAGGGCAAGCTAAAGTACCATGCGTGCTCCATCCGAATAGCATTGCATAAGCAGGAAAGTCACTAACTGTCCATAAAAGTACAACCTTCATCTGAAAATTGGTCATTCGATAGGCATCATATGTTTCAATGCCATCTGTGAACAACATCTTCAACTCGTCGATCAAAGGTTGTAAAAAAACATCCAAATTCTGTCCGGGGCTCTTCTTCCCGGGAATGATCAACGGAAGTTGTATGTACTGATGTTTAAAAGCCAACCAAGGGGGTAGGTTGTAAACAGTGATAAACACCGGCCAACATGAATAGGGAGTTGTGTTTGAATTATTAGGACTAAACCCATCGGTGTACAACCCGAGACGAATGTTGCGCGTCTCTTTTGCAAAATCAGGAAAGGTTCTGTCAAAATGATTCCATGCTTTACCTTCACTGGGATGTATCATCTTTTCTGGATCTACTGGATGATCTGAATGCCAAGTTAAATGTTTGGCTGTCTTCCTTGAATAGAACAGCCTTTGAAGTCTCGGTCCAATCGGCATGTAAGTCAAGACCAAATCAGGAACCTTCCTCCCTTTGTCTTTGTATCTATTTTCTCCACATACTACACAATGATCCAGCTCAACAAACTGACCCCTGAATAGCATGCAATGGTTTATACATACATGAATCTGTTGTGAAGGCAATTTTAGTGGCTTCAACATTTTCTTGGTCTCGTAGAAGCTATTAGGAAGCTTCTTGCCAATTGGTAGAATGTCTTTAACTATCGAAAGTAGTCTATCAAATGACGTGTCTGAAATATTAGATTGTGATTTCCAGTCCAATAATCTAGTGGTGGCAGAGAGTGTGGAAGATTTTGTACACCCGTCCCATAAAGGCTCACTCGCTTGTTTCAAAATTTTATAAAAATTTTGGGCTTCAAGATTTGGGTGTTGTGGTGTTTGTTGATAATAAGAAGCTTCGGGTTGGTGCATGCTTTCGATAACCATATCCTCGTATCTACGATAATCATCAAAACCGCCATTGATGTGTTGAGTCGTTTCAGGATTTGAACTTTGACCCATGTGTTGAAGTGGTATTGGGTTCGAACATTGACCAACCTCTTGTAATGAATACATTTCGCCATGTAAATACCATAGTGAATAACTATTCATGAATCCTCGGCTAATAAGATGGTTAAATACCAATTCTCGAGAGAGGTAATAAATATTTTTGCAATTCGCACATGGACATCTAATTTCTAAAACTTCCACCCCATCCCTAATAATACGTTGGATGTTTGTTGCGTTCGAGTAAGCAAAATCCAAAAAAAAATTGACATAATGTGGTCATTGGGTATTAAACAAACGATTACTATCAAGTCTCTTCGTGTACATCCATTCTCTATTAGACAACATTTCAATCTACAACTACTAATATACAATTGTTAGAACTCCAAACTAAACATGATAGAAATATAACATGCCATTTAATCTAACATATAATCTAAAATCGAAACAATCAACAATTTTAGTCTTATAAGCTGTCTCATGCAACAACACAACAACAAAAGTTCATAATCTGTCACATTTTTAGAATCTGTCCTAATTTTCCATTATACAATTCATAAATTAATAAAATATTCAAATCATTAATTCCACTGTTTCATATATATGTTTTGACTTTGAAAGTAAAACCTTATACAACCAAATCTTGACACCAGATATTGTTACCCACCAACATGGACAGAATATTAACCTTGATAAAAAACTAGAACAAACATGGACAGAATATTAAATTACCATATATACCCCTATATTATGACTTATGCGTAGTAGGTGTTAGTTTTCAGTTCGTATATATGGTTGGGAACCGTTCAAAAGCTTGAGTTTTTAAGCTTGAATGCATGTTTTCATGTTACTTCGTAAATTACATTGTGTGCGTTCAGGGCCGGCCCTAGGGGTAGGGCAAGCTGGGCGACCGCCCCGGGCCTCGCCAAATCCCGGGGCCCCTACAAGTTATGAATAATGTATATATAGTTTTAAATAATATAAATACATATATTCATATTAAAAATAAACGACTTTGTAGTTGAGATGGATAAGGCGCTTAGGCTTTGTTCTTTTTTACAAAAGAGGGCCATGTTCGAACCTTGTAAACATTGGAATTTTATATTTTAGGGTAAATCGTCCCTCGTGCAGGTGCCAGAAAGCGTGTTTAGTCCCTATTTTCAAAAATTAACTCGGACCATCCCTCGTTTGTTTAAAACTTGCACGCTTCGTCCCTGAAATGTGTTTTTCTTGCGAATGTAGTCCACACCACATTTGAAATGACCATTATGCCCTTGGATATTTATTTTTAATTAATCTAATATTATTTATTACTTAATAAATAAAATATAAACGAGTCTCTAATCTCTATCTCTCTCATACGCCGGAAAATACCACCACCACTTCTTTCTCTCTCTCTCTCTCTCTCTCTCTCACTCATCCTCTTCCTCCATAATTTCACCTCTTCTCCATTTTCACTCGAAGGACAGTGATGAATAATTCATTCCGGAATCTCGACCTTCTCTTCCGTGATGACCAGCCTCCTGTTGTCTGTGTAATACCGTTTCATCACCGTCGACATTTGAATCGGTAACGGCAGACGAAGTTCCTTCTGTTTGTTTCCAGTCACTAGTCACTGATGATCTAGTACTCATCCCCCATCGTTTCCGATTCTCCGATCGATGACCACCGCCTGATGATAGTGCCGATTCAGTCTCCGTCTCCAAATCAACACAACTCTCCACGATTAGGGTTTTGACAGATCCCATCGACGGCGGCTAGGGTTTCAACATATGCATCGAGCTCCACAACTGCCATCGGCGGCGACTAGGTTTTCGATCTTTGCATGCATCATGGCAGAGATATGGAGACCATTGAGCTTCATAATTGCAATCAAATCCGGCGTGAAGGTGATGGGTGGATCGATCACAAATGTATGTTTTTCTATCACCCCACCATTCGCCCCTCTATCTCTCAATCATAGATTCCTCTTCACCATTATTCTTTCTTTTGAGTAACAAGTTTGATCATGTAAAGATCAGTAGATAAAGTAAGGTAGGTGATGGTCCCGATGGTAGTTTTTTATGGAGATCGGTGGTTGTGAATGGCGATAATGGTGGTTTTCTGTGAAATCGGTGGTTGTTTGTGTGAGATTAAGGTTGTGCATAAGGTGTTAAACAGGGAATAGTTGGGCGATGATAGGTGGTGGTGCTGGAAGAGCTGGCAATGATAGGTGGTGGTGGGTCTGGAGAATCTTGTTGCACGAAATGAAAGGGGGAGGGTGAGGATATTTGTTTTGTTTATTTTTTTAATTTAAAACTGATAAATAAATAAATAAAACAAAATGAAAAAGGAATTTGTTAAGGGTAAAATAGTCATTTCATGTCAATAGGGACTAAACGTGTAAGAAAAAACATACTCAGGGACGGTCCGAGTTAATTTTTGAAAATAGCGACCGAACGTGTTTTTCGGCATATGCATGAGGGACGATTGGTGTAATTTACCCTATATTTTACAAACGTTTTTTGTGCGTCTCCTCGTTTCCAGTTCGTCGTTTCCGGTTCGGCTTCTTGAGAATCTCCCGGTTCTCCCCTCCAAAAGCGACCTCTCAAATCAACCTAAAGTTAGATTTCTAATTTCTAAAATCCAGTTCTCTAAAGTTCGATTAATGATAATCAATGTGACGGTGAATTTTGATTTCTGATAAACAAATAAAACGATTTCTGAAGTTTATTTTTCAACCCAACCCTAGCCGATATTTGAATAATCGTATTAAAGGGCTTCTAACTTTTGATTTCTCATTTTTATTTTGAAGTTCTTTTTCAATATTTGATTTTCGAATGTTCTGATTTCTGAAGAACTTAATAAGTGTAAGTGTTGTTAATCCAGAAAATTTGAACGGTTTGCTAATCCAACATCTGATTTGATATTTTGAATAGTGTAACCAAGATATTTGATTTTGATTTCCGAACTGGGCTCATGTATCTGACTTTTTTGGCTCTTGCTCGTGCTGCATCTCACTCTTTCATTTTTGTTTCTGGTTTTTTCATGTATCTGACTCTTTTGTTCTGTTTTTGATTGTTTGTGTTCATTGTTGTATGTTTATTTCATTATTTGTTTTTCATTAATATTGTAAGTTTTTAGTACTTATAGATTTTAGATCACAACAGTAGGTTTAGATCACACCAGTAGCTTTGTGTGGTGAGATCAAAAGGCATCCAGAATGTCTTATTTATGGATATCATAAGGCATATAGAATGTCTACTTTAATCAACAAATGTGTTTCTTTGGTACTTAAAGAGAGTTGTTATCCTGAGATAATAAAAATGTCACTAAAATTTACAGTTATATTTAGAGAAGCTCCTAAACTTGGTTGTTAAAACTAGTGAAGGTTATAATGTTTGTTGCTACTGTTGTGGATTGTCAGATTTTTTTGGCTCTTGATGCTTATTCGTGTTGGTTTGACTAAACTGCCCTTCACATAAGGATTATTTTGGTTGTGGAAAATAAAGTAGTAAAAATAGGAAATGGAAGGAGGTTTTGTTCCTTTTGGTCTTATTTGGACGAAATTGCCCCTCTTGAAATTACTCATGTCGTAAGCCTTTTTTACTAACTTGGTGGAGTTTTAGTCCTAGCTGAATATACTCAAGATTGGTTTTTGATGGTGATGTCACTTGTATTTTGGCCTTGGAGAGTTCAAAGGATGGCGTGGCTGCTAATTGTTGCTTAATGGTTTTGAGTTTTCATATTTTGGTGTTGGTTGCTCATATGTATTTATAGTTGAGGCTAGGCACAATCGTTCTGCACGAGTTACAGTAACAGGTGACTCAAACCGTTCTTCATCCTTAAAGATTTCTTCTACTTCCATTTCAGCTTCGGTGACTTCAAATACCCCTCTTGGTTTTGTTTTGATAACCGCCCACTTATCTTTCGTCTCATTTGCCATTGAAGGGTATGCTGTATAAAAGACTTGTTCTGCTTGTGATGCCAAACAAAATGGGTCATCAGTTTGAAGTCGAGAGTTGGTTTTGACATCAATCAACTTGTTTTTGTTGACTATTACACCATCTTTATTATCAAACCAAATACAGAACAACAGTCGAGGGCCCGCTACTATAATACTCAACCTCTAAGATCTCTTGCAATATGCCGTAGTAGTCTGACTCTTGTTCATCATTATACGTCTCCCCTCTCACACATACTCCAAAGTTATTCGTCACACGACCCTCACCGTATTGTTGAGTGTGGAACTTATAACCATTTACAAAATACCCATTATGAAAATGAGCATGTCTCGATGGTTTCTCAGCTATAACTTCTAAGTGTTTAGCACTTCCATCGGGTGTCTTATTCATTACCTAAAATGAAAACATACACACATTGTGTTGGTTAATGATGCGTAAATAATAATCAGTACTAATGAACTGGTTCTACTTACTCTGTCTTCAAACCATTCAGCAAAGAATTTATCTTTTAAATCTGAAACCGATTCATTTGGATTCGTTGTCATGACCAGCTCATCAAACTCGAGGATGTAAGGGTTTCTTTACAATTAAGTAAGATGTAGGTGTGCGCCTTGTGAAGGTCTTTATCACTCAAGGGTTTTCGTTTTCCACTTTTTTCATATAATCTTCTTGATGGGACGACAAAGATGCTAAGTGGAGCTTCTCCACTCGAAAACCTATGACTTTGTGGTGCGAAATTTCGTGCCTCTCGATTATGGCATGTCTCAATCGTCGGGTCAAAATATAAAGAACAATAGGTAGCAAGTTCATTCACTAGATGTTCATTGACGATTGAACCCTCAACCCTTGCTTTGTTCCTGATTCTTCTTTTAATTATGCCCAGTTTCCTATATTTAAAAAGTATGAATGATATCTTAGGAATACCACAAATAACTTTAAAAATGTTGGATATATAATATTAAAATAGGGTGATTACCTCTCGTATTGATACATCCATCTGTATTGTACCGGACCACCAACAATAGCTTCATTGTTGTATGTTTATTTCATTATTTGTTTTTCATTAATATTGTAAGTTTTTAGTACTTATAGATTTTAGACCACAACAGTAGGTTTAGATCACACCAGTAGCTTTGTGTGGTGAGATCAAAAGGCATCCAGAATGTCTTATTTATGGATATCAAAAGGCATATAGAATGTCTACTTTAATCAACAAATGTGTTTCTTTGGTACTTAAAGAGAGTTGTTATCCTGAGATAATAAAAATGTCACTAAAATTTACAGTTATATTTAGAGAAGCTCCTAAACTTGGTTGTTAAAACTAGTGAAGATTATAATGTTTGTTGCTACTGTTGTGGATTGTCAGATTTTTTTGGCTCTTGATGCTTATTCGTGTTGGTTTGACTAAACTGCCCTTCACATAAGGATTATCTTGGTTGTGGAAAATAAAGTAGTAAAAATAGGAAATGGAAGGAGGTTTTGTTCCTTTTGGTCTTATTTGGACGAAATTGCCCCTCTTGAAATTACTCATGTCGTAAGCCTTTTTTTACTAACTTGGTGGAGTTTTAGTCCTAGCTGAATATACTCAAGATTGGTTTTTGATGGTGATGTCACTTGTATTTTGGCCTTGGAGAGTTCAAAGGATGGTGTGGCTGCTAATTGTTGCTTAATGGTTTTGAGTTTTCATATTTTGGTGTTGGTTGCATGGAATAGTGTTTATTTTTTTGTTTTATCCCTTGTTTAGTTTTTTTTTTCTTTTATCTTATTTGTTGTCTAGCTGCTCTGTATACTTTCGAGTGTGGTTTTTCAAGTATTATTGAATTATTGAAATAGCAATAATGAATATCCATTATTTATAAATAGAGTGGTAGCAAAAATGATCGCATTATTAATTTCAAGGTGGTTCGAGTTCTTCCACTCTTGTATGCTAGCAAGTACAACAACTGTCAAACGAATATGAAAGAAACTCTACTCGAAGGGGGAACACAATCGGGTGCAGAAATTAGTGGGAAATTCCTAATCATGGAACTTACGTGTTTATTTGACAGCTTTTGAAGTTATTTTAGGGGATTAAAATAGATGCATTGAAGTTATTTTAGGGATTTACCTGGACAATAAATCGAACAAAGAGGGGTTCCACCAAAGGGAGAGATGCACCGGGAGATGCGCCGGAGCTACGCCGGAAAAAACGCCACCGAACGGAGGGAAAAATCGGTAAAATGGGGAAGAAGGAGGAGGAGGCGTTCACTGTGTTGGAGAGGGTTTCGAACCTTTTTTTTTTAATTAGTGTTTCAGTCTTTGAGCAAAAAGGCGTATATCTGATTTTCATTAAAAATTTACCGACGGAACCGTCCTTACCGACGGATCTACGACAGAATACAAAATAATTCAAGTTTTGGGCAAGAATCGAACTTGGGTCACTCGTGGAAACAACCAACACAGACACCATACGGCCGGGCATGTGACATCCGAAAATAAACCTCCACTCTTCGTTTTATACATTTAGACTTTGCTTTATTATTATTATTATTATTATTATTATTATTATTATTATTATTATAATTATTATAATGAATAATAAAAATTGTTTATCATTATTATTATTACTATTATGATATTTTATTATTATATTTTTTATTATTTTTTTATATTCATATCTTATTATTATTATTATTATTATTATTATTATTATTATTATTATTTATACATACACATACACAATTACACAAACATTCACATATACCCATAGACACATACATTCATAGAGGTTGGTCAATGTGTATAACCATGTGCACCTATAAATCCGTTACTCCTTTCACACAGTTACTTCTTTCACATACATTCACACATACACACATATGTACATATGCATACATACACATACACAATTACAAAAACATTCACATATACTCATAGACACATACATTCATAGAGGTTGGTCAATGTGTTTATGTATCGATGTATGTATGTATGTATGTATGTATGTATGTATGTATCTATGAATGTATGTGTATGTATGTATATATGTGTATATGAATCTATGTGTGTGTGTGTGAATGTGCGTCTAAGAATGTATGTGTGAATGTATGTTTTTATAGGTATATATGAATGTATGTGTAAATGTGTATGTGTAGGTGTATGTATGTATATGTACATATGTGAATGTGAATGTAATTTTAAAGTGTGAAAGGAGTAACGGATAAAAATGAGTACGCCACTATAAACATCTAGGTATCATGTACAACTCGGTGATACTATAGATAATCATGTATAATAGAGGTGCGAAAAAAACGAAGCGAAAAAAACGACGTCCGGTGCCCGAAATCTCAAAAAAAAAAAAATTCGTAGGTAATCCGTCGCAAATTACCGACGGAATAGCGACGGATATCCTCTTCCGTAGGTAATCCGTAGGTAATTACCTACGGAACAGGCCATCCGTCGCCATTCCGTCGGTAATTTCCGACGAATTACCTACGAATATTTTTTATTTTTGATATTTGGGGCACCGGACGTCGTTTTTTTCGCTTCGTTTTTTTCGCACTTCTATTATACATAATTATCAATATTATTACCAAGTTATACCTAATATATATGTGTATAACCATGTGCACCTATAGATCCGTTACTCCTTTCACACAGTTACTTATTTCACATATATTCACACATACACACATATGTACATATGCATACATACACATACACAATTACAAAAACATTCACATATACCCATAGACACATACATTCATACAGGTTGGTCAATGTGTTTATGTATGGATGTATGTATGTATGTATGTATGAATGTATGTGTCTGTGTGTATATATGTGTATATGAATCTTTGTGTGTGTGTGAATGTGCGTCTAAGAATGTATGTGTGAATGTATGTTTTTATAGGTATATATGAATGTATGTATAAATGTGTATGTGTAAGTGTATGTATGTATATGTACATATGTGAATGTGAATGTAATTTTAAAGTGTGAAATGAGTAACGGATAAAAATGAGTACGCCACTATAAACATCTAGGTATCATGTATAACTCGGTGATAGTATAGATAATCATGTATAATAGAGGTGCGAAAAAAACGAAGCAAAAAATGACGTCCGGTGCCCGAAATTTCAAAAAAAAAAGTCCGTAGGTAATCCGTCGGTAATTACCGACGGAATAGCGACAGATATCCTTTTCCGTAGGTAATCCGTAGGTAATTACCTACGGAATACCTACGAAACAGGCCATCCGTCGGTAATTTCTGACGGATTACCTCCGAATATTTTTTATTTTTGACATTTGGGGCACCGGATGTCGTTTTTTTCGCTTCGTTTTTTTCGCACTTCTATTATACATAATTATCAATACTATTACCAAGTTATACCTAATATATATGTGTATAACCATGTGCACCTATAGATCCGTTACTCCTTTCACACAGTTACTTATTTCACATACATTCATACATACACACATATATACATATGCATACATACACATACACAATTACAAAAACATTCACATATACCCATAGACACATACATTCATACAGGTTGGTCAATGTGTTTATGTATGGATGTATGTATGTATGTATGTATGTACAGTGGCGAATTTAAAACAGAAAATCACGTGGTTCATTATTTAAGTAAACCGATATGAATGAAACTATTAAAAAAAACAGTATTAGCGGATTGGATCGGATAACCAATTGCAAATAAATAAGGAATTAAGATTAAGAACTATTAATCTACTAATCACAAATAACCAACTGCAAAATAAATACCGATTGTGTTTCATTTTTCTTTTAACTTTTATTTATTTATATATTTTATTGGGCTATTGAAATAAAACATGGGCTTTAGATATCTAAATTTGTATATCATTTCTAAACAAGACAAGGTGTCAAGATGGGTCACTTTAAATATAATGTAGTTTCCAATTAATTTTTATATATAAAATAATGTAAATAAAATTTTTTTACGTAGGTCACTGTATAAGTGTAGCCTTGTCACTGTGTATGTATGAATGTATGTGTATGTATGTATATATGTGTATATGAATCTATGTGTGTGAATGTGCGTCTAAGAATGTATGTGTGAATGTATGTTTTTATAGGTATATATGAATGTATGCAAATTACCGACGGAATAGCGACGGATATCCTCTTCCGTAGGTAATTACCTACGGAACAGGCCATCCGTCGCCATTCCGTCGGTAATTTCCGACGGATTACCTACGAATATTTTTTATTTTTGACATTTGGGGTACCGGACGTCGTTTTTTTCGCTTCGTTTTTTTCGCACTTCTATTATACATAATTATCAATACTATTACCAAGTTATACCTAATATATATGTGTATAACCATGTGCACCTATAGATTCGTTACTCCTTTCACACAGTTACTGATTTCACATACATTCATACATACATACATATGTACATATGCATACATACACATACACAATTACAAAAACATTCACATATACCCATAGACACATACATTCATACAGGTTGGTCAATGTGTTTATGTATGTATGTATGTATGTATGTATGAA